GCCACAGCGATGAACATTGCTCGTTCCTCCATTATAGCGGTGAGAAACAAACAGGAAAACAAAATACTTTTCGAAAACGAAAAACAAACACGGGGAGAAGGGGCGCCGCTTACTGTCACGGGCCGGTATTCTGTCACGTTTCACACGGGAGCACGAGAACGAAGGAGCGAGGAGACGAGGAGTAAATTAAATTCCAAAGACTTTAATGAACTCAAAGCGGGGAACACAGGAACACGGGAAATCACAGGGAACACAAAATTACATTTACAGTACTGGACGCCGAACTGATAACATAGAACACTATTTATGCAAATGACATGACGATGGGATGACGAGACACACCTGGGATCAATAGAACTGAAAAGGAGACACCTGGAACAAATAAGGACAGGAACGGGAAGGACCAAATATGGGCATGGAAACACATGGGGAGCAAAACACACACAAAACACGGAACAGAGTCTGACATTCAAAGGGTTTTGTAGGTTTGACTGAAATAATAATGAAAAAATGTACACTTTAAATCAACATTTCAAACAACAACAACAAAACAAATAAAACAACAAATAAAGACAAAAAGTAGTCATTGATAATATCTAAACATGTATCCAAATCCAAATGTAATAAAAATTATTTTGGTGGGGGCGCCAATTTGGATTTCGCCTAGGGCATCAAAATGGTTAGAAATGGCCCTGTTTGAGTGAAATCTCCTGAGAACTTTATCATTCCACTTTTGAAAACACTTGCGTGAATGCATTTACTTGATTAAACTTGTTACAGATCACTGACAAAATTTGATTTTAAGATTGCATGTGCAGCTGAGCAAGGGCAGGGTTTTTTTTTTTTAATGCTGCGGTGTTTATGCCACAGCAGGCCTCCTGAGACATGTTGGATACTATAAAAACCCACATGCACTGGTGGCAGAAAACAAACAGAATTCATTACCTGCAATTTTAATGAAGATGCCATGATGGTCATTTCACAATATATATCAGAAGGTATTTCTTACAATGTTTGTAATCTTTGCAAAGTGTGTTTCTGAGACGGTTGAATTATTACTGTGCTAGCCATTCATTTAATTATTAAATCACTGATCCAACTGACTTCTAAAATCTAAAAGACTTTAAATTAATTTACATTGCATTCTACATGCAAAACAATGTGGCTAAACATATTCCAAGGTGATGAACATTGTTTGTTTTTTTGGTGTAAAAATTAAATTAATTGTATTGTTTTCTCTCTTTCTCAGGTCAGTGAAAGTATCCCTTGTGTAAGGAAAATGGGAAATGGAACATATTTTTACTTCATGTTGTTTGAAAATCTTGGGTGCATAAAATATGTTTTTTTCAGTTTGGGGTTTATTTTTTACTGTGTTATCATATATTTCAATGTCCTTATTATTCTTGCTGTATTTCTGGAAAGGACATTGCACCAACCCATGTACATTCTGATTTCATGTTTGTCCATCAACTCTGTATATGGTACAACTGTTTTTTTCCCAAGGTTACTGACAGACCTACTGTATGATACACATAGTATCTCATATGAAGCTTGCATCATACAGAGTTTTGTCATTTACTCATACGCAGCTTATGAACTTACGATATTAATGCTAATGGCATTTGATAGGCTTGTTGCAATTAATAAACCTTTGCATTACAACAACATAATTACCACACGTTTTCTAACTCTTTTAATAGTTATAGCATGGCTTTATCCAATGATTTTTGTTGGTTTTGGTGGTCTTTTGACTGCCAGGCTGAAAATGTGTGATAACAAATTGTTTAAGGTATACTGCCACAACTACGAAATTGTCAAACTATCTTGTGTGAACCATAATATTAATAATATTTCAAGTTAAAGAAAGAGAAAACGTCATTCACACGGCTTCTTTCATTTGGCAAATGCACAGCTGGCATTTGAACCCAAGATCTCCTATTTACGAGACAGGCACTTTAAGCCACTGCACCAACTGAAAGCAGGGAGGCAGTCAGGCATTCCAACACTGCTTTCTCATATGATACATATATTTCTCATATACCCTGGACCACAAAACCAGTCATAAGGGTCAATTTCTCAAAATCGAGATGTATATATCACCTGAAAGCTGAATAAATAAGCTTTCCATTGATGTATGGTTTGTTATGATAGGACATCTCCAAATAGCCTGCTTTGTTGTAATACTGATATACAGACAACAAAGTTTAAATAAATTTGAAGATAATTGTTTAATCAACCAATCACTCACCTTTTTAAAGCAATGTAATGCACTTAATATGATTGTTGTTTTAATATGTTGTTTTTCACCTCTCTGATTTCTATACAGAAATTAGCATATTTTATTCAGTTGACCTTCTCAGTAAATAAACATCTTTGTGACAAAATTTGGTAACACTTTACTTAAAGCCTTATATTGTATAATGCATTATAAAGGTATTCATAATGTATGCTGTAATGCATTGCATTTTTTCATAAATAATTTAAACCAAAGTTAAAATGCATTATAATGTATGAAGGTTTGTTTGTTGTGTGCTGCAGTATACTTCCTAAAGGTGTTACAAGGAATAGATGAGTTTTATAATGTATTAAAACTGTTGTTACAATTATTCATGAGGTCATACACCCATACAACTGGTTTTGTGGTCCAGGGTCACATATTGGAACGATCGAGGGAAAATGAACTAACAACAATCAGGAAGAAGAGTTCTACTCTTTGGAACCATCTGACATGGTTCTTCATGCTAGGCACAGAAGCCAAGCAAAGGCCTGAAGGACATATACTTTAAGCTAGGAAACACTGTGATTTGAACCCAGGATCTCCTGTTGATAAGACAAGCGTTTTAACCAGCCAAACCAAGAGCGTTTCATTTCCTTATGCCCTCTGATGGCCATGATTGCTGCCTCTCATGTCTGGGCAGTAAGCATGCTGGGACAGCGTTCATGGATGATTTGTGTCCATATTGTGAGAACATAACCATAGCAACGCTAAGATCATGACTCACCCTCCTTGTGAGGGGTGAAGTACCCTCTGCTGCTACCCAGCCGAGACCCTCTTCATTACACAGGGTCGCATTGATTAGCACTTAGAGGATCTGAGGATTACAGTAGGAGTTCTTTCACCAGACCAGTGCTCATGGACCTCCGGATGCTCCAGCGTGTTGCGTGCCATCAAGCTCCAAAAGTAAATTGTTGGGCTGTCTCATGGCGGCCCTAGTGTTTCATTTGGGGCTCCAGAGGAGGACCAGATGTTGATCCTGGCATCAAAGGATGATGAATCGGCTGAACTTCCCCCTTCCGGGGTGGTTGCGAATCAGAGTCTGTACATACTTTATATCAAATAAATGCAAATCCTGATGTTGTGTAGGTATATCTTTTGTCAATAGAAAAAAGTGAGTACTAAAATAATACTAAGAATATTAGAATACTAAGTTTATTCTGTTTTGATTAGCTTGCAGACAAAAAGTAAAAAAAAAACAAAAAAAACACAGCCCTTGGTTTCCAAGCACTACACGTTTTTGGAAAAAGCACACTCCCCCTAAGCTGTGTCAAATAAGATAGAAGGCACTACTAGGATTTGAACCCAAGATCTCCCGTTTACTAAACAAGTACTTTAACTATCTAAGCCACTGCACAAGTTGTCAACTACAGGAGCGGTGACGAGACCCAGGAAACACAAAAAGGCAAGTCTTGCAGAAAGATCCTTAGTAGATCTAGCATTGTACCTGCTGATCCTTGATTTCATTGTTTGGAAAAAAAATAAATAAATTTGCAAGATGTAATGAATGACCACCAGTGGTGGAAATTTTTATTCTTTCAAGAGATTCGTTCATTTTCAATCCGTTGACCAAAATGATTCGTTCAGATTCATTCAATGACCATTTCTTCATATTACATAAATACGCCAGCAGGTGGCGAAAAAGAGTGTCTTATGTGTTATATCTTAAGTCAACGAATGTATTTACTTATTACAAAAAACTGATTTGGCTTTATTAAAATGTGTAAACATATTTGCAAGATGTAATGAATGACCACCAGTGGTGGAAATTTTTATTCTTTCAAGAGATTCGTTCATTTTCAATCCGTTGACCAAAATGATTCGTTCAGATTCATTCAATGACCATTTCTTCATATTACATAAATACGCCAGCAGGTGGCGAAAAAGAGTGTCTTATGTGTTATGTCTTAAGTCAACGAACGTATTTACTTATTAAAAA